GTGGGAATAGTATGACATTTGTAGAGACAACATTTAAATAGCATCAGTTCTAACATAATTTCTAATCCTATATGGCTGTGTGAGCTTGGGAACCTCAGTTAAGTTCTCTAAACCTCCATTTCTTTATTTGTAAAAGGAAACAGTGACCACTCCGACATCTCCAGGCTGTTTGGAAGTATAAGATAATGGGTATTAAAGCACTTCACAAGCTGTAAATACATGCTAGTTATAATCACCCAAAGCGGCCACAGTGCTAACCATCTCTATCATCCCAATAAAATACAGCAGAAGTACATTTTCTGGGAGGCACAGATAAAGCACCAAGGGAGATTTTAGTAGAAGCAGCAAAGATGAGTTAATATTTTGAAAACTGGGCATGGGAAGGATATTCCAAAGAAGCATAAAGAGGCAAGAGGAAAAGAGGGCAATCGGGGAAGGGAAAGTTTGTCTCTATCCCCCATTATAAAGCACCTATGGAGATATATGTAAAAATAACAAGATCAACACTTTCAAAGCAGTTACCACTTCCAGATTCCAGGGGTGCCTGGGTGACTCAGTGGGTTAAGCTTCTGACTCTTGATTTAAGCTCAGGTCATGATCTCACAGTTTGTGAGTTCAAGCCATGAGTCAGGCTCCGTTTTGCTCATGGAGGCTGCTTGGGATTCTCTCTCTCCCCCTCTCTCTGCCCCTCTCCTGCTTCTGCCCCCTCCCCTGTTCATGCTCTCTCTCTCTCTCTCTCAAAATAAATAAACAAACTTTAAAATTAAAAAAAAAGTTCCAGATTCCAATTTTCTAAAAATAACCTATTGAGTGGTTTTCATTATGCCACTACTCTCCCACAGTTATTTTTAACTGCTGGTAAGTCCACTCAGGAGTAGAATGGCTGACTGCATTGTCCTGCAAAGCACCCACCCCACCAGGGACACAAAATTTCCCTGTTGTTTCCCTGGCCGAACAATGGGATCTGAACTTACAAGTCAAGAGAGATTAAAACAGTGCTGGTGGAAAGCGTCTACTTACTTGATAAGGTGAGGTACACACTCAATGTTTGGAGTTTTAGAAGTGAAAGGTGAGGCCACAGATGCCTCCTGTTCTGATAAAGAGATGCCCACGTGAGCCATTTTCAAAGCCTGAAAGCAAAGAGTCAGCTTACTCTGCTTGCACACTCACAGATGTCTCTCCTGAGGCCACACGGGAAAAGCCTGTCAAGCTAGCTACAGGATGGCCCGTGGACCCAAGCACGAGCCAGGAGGGGACCAGAATTCGTTCTGCCTATTGCATAACAAAGAGACGGCACTGGGACATCTGGCCAAAGAAGTCAGTATACTGATCACTGAGTCATTGGGCGGCCTTGGTCAAAACCCTCCCAAACCCTCCACATCAGTTCCTCCATCAAGAAGAATGGAGATAAGTGTCTCCCAGGGATATTATGTCTAAAGGACTCCAGGCAAGTGCAATTAAGTGTAAGTCCTGGTGTGTCCTGGTGTGATCATGGCCCCACACACCGGCAGCTACTTACCCCGCAGTCATTGGCTCCATCACCGCACATACCTACAAAGTAACTAAAAGGGAGCCATGTCAATTGGAGGGGAAATCAAAGCAATTTTAACTGCTAATTTCTCTAATTAAAAAAATAATAAAATGAACTTCGTTACTTAGGGGACACTCTGATTCTTTATTTTTAAGGGAGTTTTCTGAAGGGTCCAGTTTGACTAAAAGTAAAGTGTGACTCAGCAGCTCCCCGATGGATTAGGAAAGCCAGCACACCATCCTGACTCCAAGCATTTCAGGGAGACCCTGTACTTCACTGCTTAGAAAGCAGCTTTGTTGGCTGTAAAATGGGACGTTCACAATTTTATGACATAACACCATGGCACAGTGGAGAGGGCACCAGATTTGAAGCCAGATCAAGATCTTTGACCTGATCACTTGACCATTTTGGCCATTATTTTTCTCTCCTACAAAGTGTTGTGAGTATTCAGTGAGATGCTGTAGGGAAAAGTGTCTTCTGATTTCTAAAACAATAAACGAAAATTACTTGGTGCTGTAAATAGTAACAGGGCAGGAAATTTGCCATTTTAGCAGTCACTCAACTAACAAATGCCCAGACGTTGAAGAAAGAAAATATATTCCTGCGTCAGGATCGCTCTTTGAGGGTGAGTGCATCCTGCTGGCTTTAATTCTTGACAAAGATTGTGGATAGTGTGCTTTTTAAGGTAGGAGTGCTCTGACAGTATTTATAGGATTTGCTGTACTTGTCTTCCACACTGTCCTATGAAGGCAACTAGTTTACTATTTAGGTTTTCAACCAAGTTAAGAAGACAGGACTTTCTGAATCAAGAAGCTTGCCTAGTGACTAAATCAGGGGGGATGAAGTGGGAGTGAAAAAGATTAGGAGTCATGTCTATATGGTCCAGCACCAGAAATGAAGAAAACTTACAGGACTCCATGGGTTCTGTTACAGGAAATAAAGGGTCTCAAATGATGGGCACTTTATTTGAACTGCCTATTCTCTAATGGAGACCCTTTGTGTTAAAAGAGAAGTATTATTCTGATTCAGGACAGAGAAGATACTTTGCCATACAAATATTTCAGTATTTTTAAGGTTATGTGAATCCCTTGCCATACGAATCTCCTTATATCACAGCTGTGATGATAATTTATAATGTCTAAATTCTCATTGTACCTTCAGGAGCTGAACTCAAACTATCCTTCCAGGTTCATTTCTCACCACACACTTTCACGTCCCATATGTTCTAGTCCAGTGGTTCTCAACTCTGGGTGCAAAATTGACTCATTTGAGGGACGCTGAAAAAACACTGATGTCCAAGCCTCACATGAGCAACTGAATTAGAATATCTGGACAGTGGGGTCCTGGGATTGTTATTTTTTCAAAGCTCCCAGGGTGACTGTCATAGGCAGTTAGGTTCAGAACCACTGCCTTAGGGGACTTCTTGTACCTCTTACACTCTCCCTGACTGTCATGCTCCAGGCACTTCATACCACCTGAATTGGTAAAGAACCTACTCCAGTTTCTGAAATTCTTCCACCAGACTGGATTTCTGCCCAGGAGACATTCTTGCAAAGATTGTTCCATTTATCAGTATCTGTAAGGAACCCAAGAGAAACTTTATATCACGTCAGTTGGTCATACATGAGATAATTGATAATACTTAGAACGCTGACTGGAAAATAACATCCATGAATGGCAAAACACAATTTGTTTCCAAAAAATCTTTTTTATTTTTTTTAATTTTAAGACATTGAGACCTTGGTCATCAAGTAAGCGACCAAGGAGGCCAAAAATCAGTCAAGATGACTGCTTAATAAAAATATTGGATGAAAATGATGACCTTCAGATATTTAGCTGAACTGCCATCAAGAAGGTGGTCAAAAAGTCCTGAGCTTAATGGAATCTTCAACCATAAAGTATGAGAAATTGCAAGATATCAAGAGGTCAGCATCCTAGGGAAAGGAAAGGAGGCAACAGCTTCTCAGAAAATTGTTCAGAACGAGCAGAAAAAACAGCCTCATGATGAAATAGTGACAATTAGTGGTCTTTGATTTAACCATGCCATCTGGGCTTGACCAATTGTGGAGCTCAGCTGATATCCCAAGTCTAATTTTGGCTATGGAACATTGGTGGTCTGGAGATATAATAAATCTATACCAGCTCCATCCACCTGAGCTTTATTCTACAGAGTCTGAATTCTTCTGTTAGATCTCTGTGCTCCTTGCTCTTCTTGAAAGTCACTCAGCTTAATGTTTGATCAGCCTCTACGTCTTTAATCTTTTTGTCTTAAACAGTGCCTAAGATGATAAGCAATTGAATACAAATAACTGATCTTTGGATTACACTAGACACAATCTTTCTCTAGTTTGTCCACCTGTTATGTATATAACTTACCTGCCCCTGCTATGAGTTTATTCTTCATCAGAAAATTGATAACTTTGACCCTTTCTTGTGTAGACTCTCTATCAAAAACCTAACAGAATTCCTTTCTTGGGCTGCTTTCCTCTATAATTGGTGGATTTCCCCTTCACCGTTAGACCCCTCACCATGGCCGTATGAAGACAGCCACCCAAAAGCAATCCTTGTGACTTGAGAAGCTCCTAATACTTTATTTCTCTAGATGGTGAGAAATGGGCTAATCAAATTTACTAATTTTAAACTTATCTAGAAATGAGACAACAAAAATGTTTTTGCCCCTTTATGACATATTCAATAGGTATTTCTTACCTACTTAAAAGTTTGAAATTACTTATGAACATGCTCTGTAAGTGACTTCATTGGCATCTTTACTGGGAGACTGATACCCTCTTAGAACTTACCTTTGGGAGTAGGCTGCTGAAATGTTGACTTATAACCTGAAAGGATTTTCCACTTAAGGCAAAATGGTAACTTCCCTCTCTGCCATGATCAGAGACTTCTTCCTTGATATTAATGTAATTATCCTGCAAAAGCAAAACACAAGTTATTTTAGACACTTGATAGAGTGGTAAAGGACCACAAGTATATCAGAGAGAGGCAGTGACGACTGGCCTCTCTCTTTAAGAGAGACTGGGGTCTCTCTTTAAGAGTCACACTCCAGCACCAATTCCTCAGAGAAACACTTTGTCTTTGCTGGATCAATCTTTGCACATCACAGCCTCTAGTGAATAGGAGAATAACACTCCTGTCCTGTTCTCATCCTGATTTGATCTTGGTGAGTCCCAGAGAAGAGCACATTTCACACATTTCAAGTGTAAAATACAAAGCACTACACCTTAACAAATCTCTCCCTGAAGTGAGAACTTACCATTTTTTTTT